GCTCAGGCCAGGGTCGCCCCCAGTCTGGGTGGAAGGACAGGCCACCATCTCCTGGAGGTTTCTGCCAGTCAGGTCCTGTGTCTAGGCCTCTTCCTCCTGGGCACTCCCATGTGTCTAAGCCAAAACCTGGCTTCAAATCTCTTGTCCCTCAGCCCATTTTCTGGTCACCGGCTCCTACCCTTGAGCCTCCAAGACATCTCCCAGATCCGCCCACTCTGTCCCCATCTGGTCCAGGCCGCTGTCCCTTCCTCCTGGACATCTGCCCCGGCCTCCACAGGGCCCTCTCTGCCTCCAGTCTTAGCCCATAGTCCTTTTCCACACAGAGGCCAGGGTGTGTCCCTCCACCACGCAAATCCCCTCGGAGTTGTCCCTACAGACAGGATAACGCCCAAACGTCTAGNAAAAGCTCATTATGTACTTGAGACTATTACATTGGCCGGCTTTAAAAAAAAAAAAAAAAGATTGTTTCGTTTTTCTGTAAAGTCCTTAACAAAAAAAAAAAAAAAAAAGGAGACTAGCGGGTTGTGAGCCACCATAAAATTTAAGCTATTTACATTTTGGTTTGCATCTTCCCAGATATCTTACATTGCACGTATAAGATGTGCAACCAACAGCTCTGGGCATGTTGCTTTTCCCTCCTGTTTTGGATTATTTTTCAAAGTGGGCTAAGAGATGGAGTCACTGGGTGAAAGCATGCGAACATTTTCCCAGCTGGTGGTTCATTTTTCCCGAAAGCTTATGCTGGTTATTTCACTGTGACTCCTGCTGGTGGCTTGGATTTGCTTGCCTCTTTTGTTTTTCAAGAGGAGGCTGGGTCAGGAGCCTGCGTCAGGAGCCTGCTGCACTCCCGGGTGATCTGTGGGGTGGGGACTGTGTTCTGCTATATGCGTGAGGGAACCCCCCCTCGGCCACGACAGCGACCCAAGAGCACCCTCCAGGGAAGGGCAGCAGAGGTGCAGCAGCTGGAGACACCATTTTGGTTTTGATTCCCAGCTGGTGCTCCCGAGGAAGGGACAGGGGAAAGAGCCCCTGAACTGGTGTGCCAGGTTCTTTGGATAAGGCAAGTTGCCATTTCACCCCAGCACGTGGAGTATTTTGACTTCTTCAAGCTCCACCCTTCACTTTATGCTGCTCCACCATAAACGCTGAAGTGCCCATTCTCTGTGTCAACTGTGCAGTGTCACAGACTCAGAAACTCTGGTCTTTATTTCTCTGGGTTTGGTTTTTGCAAGAGCCAGACTGTCTTTCTTTCAGTCTCATTCTCTCTCTCTCCCTCTCCCCACCCCTCCTTCAAGCTCCTTTATTTCATGTAAAAAATAAAAGCAGACACACGCATGCCCTCTCTCAAGCTCACTTGGCCAAATGGGCGAAGGCAGGCAGAGAGAGGAGTCCAAGTTCTCCCAGCCTGGGGTGGGGCCTTGGGTACCTTGTTGCCTTGTGGAAAAATGGTATCCTGTGATGGGTGCCCAGCAGCCCTGCAGTTAGGGCTACAATAGCGACAGCAATGTTTGAGCATTTTCTCTTTCACAGGGAGAGCTGCCGTACCCTCTCCATCGGCTTCCCGGAGCAGCATGTGTAAACGATTAAGCCAGTTTGTTTTCTCTAGAGCGCTTGGGAGGAAGTGACATTGACATCCTCGCAGTCCTCCAACTGCAGGGCCAGTGCCTCCGTGGGAACAGGGCCTCCAGCTTTTTCCGAAGCCAGCATTCCTGGGATCTGCCTTCTGGGCCTCCACCCAGTGTGACCCCTCTCTGCGGCAGGAGGCCCCAGCTTGGCGATTCTTCATGGCACCCTGCCTTTGGGCTGGAGAGTAGAAAAACGTGATGTGCCTCCATCGAGCTCTGGAGCATTGGCCGGGTGCCTGGAAGGCCTGTCCACTCGCTCACTGCCAGTTGAGTGCTTTTGAGGAGGAAAGGGGCTGCCCATGAGGGCACTGCTCTGGCACCCCTGGGCCAGCCCATTGCTGGTACAAATTCCCCAGGCGAGGAAAGGGAATAAGCTCTGTTCCAGGGAGGACACTGCTCAGGCCAGGGTCGCCCCCAGTCTGGGTGGAAGGACAGGCCACCATCTCCTGGAGGTTTCTGCCAGTCAGGTCCTGTGTCTAGGCCTCTTCCTCCTGGGCACTCCCATGTGTCTAAGCCAAAACCTGGCTTCAAATCTCTTGTCCCTCAGCCCATTTTCTGGTCACCGACTCCTACCCTTGAGCCTCCAAGACATCTCCCAGATCCGCCCACTCTGTCCCCATCTGGTCCAGGCCGCTGTCCCTTCCTCCTGGACATCTGCCCCGGCCTCCACAGGGCCCTCTCTGCCTCCAGTCTTAGCCCATAGTCCTTTTCCACACAGAGGCCAGGGTGTGTCCCTCCACCACGCAAATCCCCTCGGAGGTGTCCCTACAGACAGGATAACGCCCAAACGTCTAGTCCCAACCACACAAGCCCCACTTGAGCAAGCTCCAGCTTCTCTCCACCTTCATCCTGCACCAGGAGATCCAGCCTGGGAATTGCTCCCACTGGCCCAAAGGGAAGCTTCTGGCCTGTCCCCAGGCCTTTACTCCTGCTGTCCCCTTAGCTGGAAACACTGTTCTCCCTTCGTTCTTTGGTGAACTCTTCATGCTTCTGTGCACACCTCCTCCAGGAAGCCTGCCCAGATGCCTTAGACCAGGTTTGCTGCCCCCTCTATGTGCTCCTGGGACCATGCATCACCCCCTTATGGCCTCTGTCATGTGGTGTCGTAATTACTCCTTTAGTGTTTTGCTTCCCTGCGAGAGGGTGCAGCCTCTATGGCCAGGAACCCTGTATCTGTTCTCTGCTCTCTCCCCAGGGCCCAGGCACATCACACGTGTTTCATAACATTTGTTCAGTGAATGAATGGCAAATGAAGGCCTAGAAAACACTTGACCAAGCAGAGGCCAAACTGAGCAAGAAAATGCAATTTCTTTCAGGGCACAGGCCTCAACATCAGTCAGGTGGGTCCGAACCAGCTGAAGACATCAGCAGAATGCCCCGTACCCTCTGCCTGCAGCTCCCCACTGGTGCCTCATGTTCTCTTGCTGACCAGAGTCCCTGTGCTGCCAGGGGAGAAGCTGTCCAGCCACCCAAACAGGAAGTCACACGGCCACCTGGTGGTCATCCTCGTACATTTGTAGGGGCAATGCTCAACCCACAGGAATGGGGCCTCCATGGTGGGATTCCAGATGGAGCA